CACTTCAAAGTTGTTTCAGGAACAAGAAAGCTACGAGTTGGGTAGCTACTTTTTAACATTCTTTTTCTACAACTGCAAACTTAACCAAATCCAAGTGAAATACTAATTAAACAAGGTTTTCATAAAACCTGGGCAGCTGATTTCTAGGAAGCTGGTCCAAGTAGTTAGCTGAAATTATGTGAATTCCCAGAAGAGTCTTTCAAAAATAAATGACCCATTATGTCCTTTCATTGACCACTTAAAAGAAAATCCAGGGGTCACCACTGAATTTGATATAAATACATTTTTCCACAATTCTTCTAAAACAAGACTTCAAAAAAATAAGAGAAGCCTCCAAAGTACTACACATCCGCTGCTTTTATTCTTCTTGACGGTTGAGTTTGTGGGTTTAGACGGTGCTGTTTACAGAGCCGAGGCGAGTTGTTCAGGAGCCTCTTGTAGATGGTACACACTGTGGGCGGTGGAGGGAGAGAATGTTTAGGACAATACATGAAGTGACAACCTAGAAAGATGCTTTATCCTGGATATTATCAAGCTTCTTGAGTGTGATTGGACCTATGCTCATCTAGCCAAGTGGAGAATGTTCTGTCACATTTCTGACCTGTGTCTTGCAGATGGTGGATTTAATAAATGTTAAGGGATGATTGTTGGATTCTCCCTTATTGGAGATTGTCATTGCCTGGCGGTTGTGTGTTGCAAATGTTACTTATCACTTGTTAGCCCAATCCTGAATGTTGTCCAGCCTGTGCTGTGTTGGCCATGGACTACTTTAGTTTCTCGGCAGTCAGGAATGGTGCTGAACATTATTCAATCATCAGTGAACTTTTCCACCTCTAACCCGATGATGGAAGGGGAAGATCATTGAAGAAACAATTGATTATAGTTGGGCCTTGGACACCACCATGAAGAACTCCTATAGTGATGTTCTGTGCCTAAGATGACTGAACTTCCACAATCAGAACTGTTTTTCTTTATATTAGCTATGTCTTTATCCAGCAGATTCTCTTCTCTCATTCCTGTTGATTCCAATTTTGTTTGGGCTCCTTCATGCCATGTTCAGTCAAATGCTGCTTTGATGTCCATGGCAGTTACCCTCATTTCTGCTTTCATTTCAGGTCTTTTCTCCATGTTTGGACCAAGGCTATAACAAGGCCAGGAACTGAATGGCCCTGGCACAGCCCAAACTGAGTATCAGGGAACAGGGTACTGCTAAACAGGTCTGCTTGATAGCATTGTCAACAATTCCTTTCACCCTTTTGCTGATGTTCAAGAATAGGCTGACAGGGGGATTATTGTTCATGATAGACTTGTCCTGCTCTTAGTACAAGGGTATAGCTGGGCAAATCTCTATATTGGCAGGTGAATGCCAATTTTGTGGCTGTAGTTGAACAACTTGGTTTGGCTCACAGCCACTTTGGGAGAACAAAAGGACTGTTGCATCATTGCTATCAATACTATCACAGACAAATGCTTCTTCTGTATATAGAATGCTGGAAATGCGTTACAATATATTTTTCCCTTTGATCTCACCACCTGCCTCAGGCACAGCAATAGCTTGATCCTTTAGGATTCGACCAACTGGGTCAGTAGTCTTGTTGCCAAGCCATTCTAGGCAAAGGACACTAAAGTCCCCAACCAAAGTGGATTCCATGTCCTTGCCACCTTCAGTGCATCCTCCAAGTGGTGCTCATTGTGGTGGGAGAGTTGATTCATGAACTGATGGCAAGCAGTATGTGATCATCAGAAGGAAGGTTTCTAGTGCTTGTATCTGCTGATGATACTGCATGGAATCTAAATAAATGTTAAGGAATATCAGGAGAACTTCTTCCTGATTATATATCACGGTTGTAGGGGTTTTGTACAATCAGTAAAACTGCTGCTGTTTTAGGTGGTTTAGATCACCGACCTCCCCCCCGCCCATACCTGATTCTGACACTGGACTTAATTTAGGAGTGTGAAGTGAAGAAGGCAGAAGCGTAAAGAATCTCTGCATTTAATAAATACAAAGGGGACTATAATCACAAAATAAAAGGCAAATTGACTGAACAGAGAAATAATACAAAGTTGAATATAAGACAAGAGATAAAAATAAGGCAAAGACAAAACAGTGAAACTAACACTATCATCAGTTATTCAGAGGGCAGTGCTTAAATATACTACTAACAGGTTACTTACTATTAGAAACTAAACAGTTGTTTCAATCACAAACACTTTAATCAGACTTCCTAACCTCGGGGCGCCCTGCACCTGTCACCAAACCACCTTCCCTTTCCTGCTAGCTAGGCTGGATACTTTGGGGTCTTGTGGAAATAATCTCACCACTCGGGATAGACGTGTTTTGAATTACAGCTGGCCTGAGTCCGCTAATGTGGTAAACTGTGTTGTGGATGTACCCGGCTAGTACTTTGGTTTTCTTACTTTATGGTGGGTTTCGCGAGCGGGTTTTCACCTCAGGATGTGTCTGAAGCCTTGTCGTGTTGGTTGGGTCGGTGGTTCTCAGAGGTCATTGGTTGTTCGGTCTGCAGGTCGTGGTAGGTGGCCAGTGGTTGGAGATGACTGTAGGAGTCTCTCAGTGCGGTAGCTCTCTGGATTCCTCTCCTGTTGGTAGCTGTGGGGAATAGCTCTTGAGGCTGATCGCCGTTTTTCTTCCGCTCTTTTTTTCTTCCCAGGTGAGATTAGGTCCTGCAATTATACTAACTTGCAGGTCTCTTGGTGCCAAAAATCTGCACTTTTCAGTTGTTGCCCTGCTTTTGAGGTGAATTGCCTTCCTGATAGTTTAGAGTAGGTGTATATGTGTTTCAATTAGGTGAAATGTCCGGTATTTCTTGGAATGAATATTAATTGAAGTTCGATGACTTCGTATCTGTAAACGTTCCATAATATCTAGTTTATATTGTTGTCTTAGGTCTGGTTTACTGTTCTTTTAGAGTTGAGGTGTGAATTGGATTTTCTAACTGAGCAATGGTTCCAGGCTGCTATGATTGTGTATTTCCCCAGAGCATGGCCCAGCTGCCTTTGTTTTAAAAAAAACTTTTAAAAGTCCTGTTAAAAGTCCAGAGTTTTGTTAACATTTCCACGGTGTTGGTCGAGTATTTTAAATGATAGGATTGAGCAAAAATACCTACACTGTACTGCCACTTCTGCAAGGTATGACCTGTCTTACCAACAGTGATGGTGCTTGTGATACCTGGGACCTTGTAACAGATGATTTCGTAAGAATGCAAGGATAAGTTGTTACTTGAATAGTCTATGGGACAGTTATGATTTTGGCACAAACAACGGATGTTAATAAGTAGGTTTTGGAAGGGTTGATTGAACTGTGTATTGCATTATTACTTCCTGTACCTTAGTCAATGGTGGGTAGTGTATCTAGTTTCATTTCTTTTCACTCTGTTTAGTATACTTTTTCATAATGGGAGGTGACGGCTTAGTGGTATTACTGCCACACTGTTAATCCAGAGACCCAGATAACATTCTGCAGACCCAGGTTCAAATCCTACCATGGCAGACGGTCGAATCAAAAGGGGTGGATTTCCTCCAACTCTCAATTATTTACCACCACTTCCACAAAAGATCAACATCCACACCGTGTAAGTTATGTGAATACTACTTAGGATAGTTGTCCAGCTCACCCATGGTAACTTTGACAACACAGCCTCAGATATCTTGGAACAATAACAAGTGTCAAAACGACATACATGCTCAAGCAGAGTTTGTTCAAATGATTCTCGTTCCCACTTGAAATGGACTGCACATTCTAATACTTGCAGGGAAATATCCAGCTTTCTTGAATTTTCATTAAAATAATATTATTCATTTTCTGCTTTGGAGTCTTAAGAAGATAATTGAGGCGGCCTTTGGGAAATGAAAGCTCAGAGCAATTATTCTGTTATATACACTGCTGTTTTCTGGAGTATCCTTTAAGTTAAAAAAAAACTTCATGCGCTTTTTCAATCAATTTGATGCCTGCAAGTTGGATCATGCAACATTTAAAGAACTGAAACACCAAAAATCAATACGAGATTAAATTTCCAACCATAAATACAAAATTTAAAATCCTTTTACTTAATTTAGAAGCTATGTGATGCAAGTCAAGGAACAGTAATAAACAGACAGCAGCAATTTAAAATAGCCTAACACAAAGGCCTTGCAGATTTTAATAAAATTACAGACAAGGAATTCCCCAAAAAATGCATTAACTGTCCAATAAGTATCGCAATTTCTTTCCATAGGAGAGAGATAAGTATTGGCAATAACAGCAATCATGTTAAGCCATTGATATGACAGGATATTTCTGCTATTTTTAATGGAGACATTATCCTATTTGAAAGAATTGTGTTACTTAAATTTTATGATGTCCAAAAATCAATAAATTGTAATGTTTAGAGGAAAGGTCATCAATCTGATATTGTAACTTTGTTGCTGTCATCATAGATGTTGCCAGATCTGACTATTTCCAGCATTTTCTGTTTTTAAATCTAAGAGAAAGCTGAATCTGCTTTTCCCCATAGTTCTGTAGTTGCAGCATTGGCAATTGGAAACATAGAAAACAGAAACAAGAGAATTCCATTCAGACCATCTAACCTGCACTGCCATTCAATATGATCATGGCTGATCTTGTTTCTCAGCATGGTCTACGCTGTACCAGGATATCATGGACACTTATTCCCCAGCTAGAGCAACATCATCCCTGCATCCAGTCAGAATTTAATGCTTCCATGAGATTGCCTCTCATTCTTTCAAACTCCAGTGAATACAAGTCTAATCTACCCAACCCCTCTACCTGGGACTTACCTGCCTTCCCAGAATACGGCCTGGTGAATTTTTGCTGGACTCCCACTCTGAGAAGAATTTTTCCCCCCCATCCCAGTAAAGAGACCAAATCTGCAGATTCCAGGTTTGGTCACATCAAGATAGTTACAGCAATACATACATGCATCTGTAGTCAAAGGCCAATTAAAGGCCAATATACTATTTGGTTTTCTAACTGTTTACTGTACCCACATGCTTGCTTTTAGTGACCAGTGTACAAGGACATTCACATGCCTTTGCAGTATCAACATTTTCCAATCTAATCTTTTAAATGATACGCTGTCACTGTTTTTCCTTTAAAAGTGGCAGCTTCACAATTATCCATGTTATACTGCATCTGCTATGCACTTGTCCACTCACTCAGTTTATCTAAATAGTGTTGAGCTGCTTTGCCTCCTCTTCACAACTAACAATTCTTCCTAGTTTGTATCATCAGCAAACTTGGAAATTTTACACTCAATTCTCTCATTTAAATCATTGATATATATTGTGATTGGCAGGTGTTTGAACATTGATCCATGTGTTACCCCACTAGTCACCACCTGCCACTCAAAAGTGACCCAGTTATTTCTACTGTTTCCTGTATGCAACCAATTCTTTTCCACAACAGTATATTACCTCAATCCCGTGTGCTTTAATCTTGACACAAATCTCTTATGTGGGACTTAAATCAATTCTTTTTCATTGAATATTCAAATACACCACATCCACTGGTTTTTCCTCATCTATTCTTATATAGTTACCTCTAAAAAAAACTCCAGTAGGCTTCTCAAATATGATTTTCCTTGCTCAAATCTATGCTGACTTTAATCAAACCCTGTTGATTTTATCCAAGGATCCTGTTATTTTATCCTTTATAGTAGTCTCTAAAATTTTCCTCATGACTGTTGTTGGACTAACTGGTCTGCAATTCTGTTTTCCTCCTTCCTCCTTTTGTTTAAATAGCGGGATTACATTTGCTACCCTCCAATCTGCCATTACTGTTCCAGAGTGAACATAATTTTGAAGGCAGACATCAAATGCATCCCTTGTCTCCATGGCCTCATCCTGACTTTGAACTGTATCATACATCTAGTCAAAAATAAACCAGGCAGTCTCTTTCAAAAAGGTGGTAATTCCAGTCCTACTGACAAAGTTATAATGCTGATGAAATGCTGCAAGCACAATTCAATCCTACATAATTTGCTCTTGACGTAATTGATTTTTAAAAATTCTTTCAGGATATATGAGGATCAGAGGCAAGGCCGACATTTGATGGCTATTCCTAATTGCCCATGAGAAGGTGGTAGTGAATCGCCTTCATGAACCATTGCAGTTCAACTGGTGCATGTACACCATCAGTAATCTTAGCACAACAGTTCCAGGATTTTAATTTGCCTACTCAGAATAGTGTGCGGCTTGGAAAGGAACTCGTAGGTGATAATTCACTCAGCGATAGCAAGAACTGTAGATGCTGGGGTCAGAGATAACAGTGTGGAGCTGGAGGAACACAGCAGGCCAGGCAATATCAAAGGAGCAGGAATGTTCACGGTTTGGGGGTCCCAATCTGAAATGTCAACTTGTGGGTGATGCTTTTTTTTCGTCCTTGAGCGTGGTGCATGTCATGAGTCTGAAGGGTGCCGTTGAAGCAGCCTTGAGAGTTGCAGCTCTGGATGGTATATCTGGCAGTCTGTTTGTAGCAATAGTAGAGAGAATGAACCTTTAAACTGGTCAGTGAGATTCTGATCAAACTGTTCTGAATGGACAAGCTTCTTGAGTGCTATTGGAGCTACAACCCACCCAGGCAAGTGAAAAATATTCCATCATAATTTCAACTTCTACTCTACAAATAACAGACAGGATTTAGGGAGTCACAAAGTGAGCTTTTTGTCGCAAAATTCCCAGTCTTTGACCTGCTGTAATAACTATAATCATTGATGACATGATGGACATTTAATGATTCTATTTAGCTTAGTTACTTTCATTATACGTTGATTTGTAGGATTTGTTTGTATTACGTTTCAATCTTTGCTTCAGTAAAAGCTTTTCTTGTTGCATGATTAAATAATTTTTTGAATAATTTACCAGGGAGAATACAGACAAGACAATTAATCAGGGTGATGAAATGAATCGTTTTAGAGATAAACTGTAAAACAATGCACCTCGTTTCCAGCATAGTTGTCAAACTGAATATTTTACTCCTTATTCTCTCCAGTTGTGCCTTAGACACAATTTAGATTTTTCTTGGCTTGGATCATTTTTATTTTGGGAAATGTGAGTACGGTAGCAAAGTGGTAATATTACTGGACTATTGATCCAGAGACTTGGACTAATGGTCTTTAGACATATATACAAAATACACCATTTACGTTTGTGGAATTAAAATTCAATTATAAATCTGGAACAAAATGCTAGAATTATTAATGATCACAAAACTACAAGGTTAACATTAAATACCCATTTGGTTCACAAGTGTGCTACAAGAAGTCAAATTTGCTTTCCTTACCTGGAGCACTTCACATGTGACTCAACACCCAGACCGTGTGGTTGATTGTTTTTATCTACTTACAGATGTGACTATCGCTGGTTCGGCTAGCCTTTATTGTCCATCTTTAATTCCCCTGAAGACAGTAGTAGTGTATGACCATCTCGAACCACTGCAGTCATGGAGCGAAGGGACATCCACAAAAGGTGATAGTAAGGGATTTTAGGATTTTGACCCAGCAATAGTGAAGGATTGACAATATAGTTCTAAGTCAGAATTGTGTATGACTTGACGGAGAACTTGAGTGGTCGTCTCAAGCATTCACTGTTCTTGTCTTTAAGTGATAAAGGTCACGTGTTTTAGAGGAGTCATGGTGAATTGCTGCAGTGTTTTTTATAGATGGTACACATATCTGCCGCTATGCACCAGTGAAATGAGTGAATATTGAAAATGGTTGATGGGATAACTGCACTTTGAAATGCAAGCCACTCAACTGCAGGCTGCTCACCATCACACGGGTATTTAGGATTGAACAATAAGTAATCTCTTTACTGACAATGCTCACAACACAAAAAAAAACACATTCTTTAAGATAAGATTTGTATGATATTGAAATGTTGCTGAGTGCTAAATGCAATCTTAGTCTGACAAGTCAAAATGAAAAACCTCAAGGAGGTAAAAAAAAAGGATAAATTGTAGCAAGTGAACTTTTGCTTTTCATGAAATAGTGATATCAGCATCAGAATAAGATTTTAAAAAAAAAACAGAAAACATTTAGCAAAACAAGGCAGAAAAAAAAGTCAAGTTTCTAATCTCCTGTATTGTACTGATACCTTTTATGAACAGTTTCCGAGTGAGACCAATTACAGTACCTGTGTTACTACTTAGACTTAATTTAACATGCCCTTTTAAATCTCTGTGGGAATTTCAGGTATTGATTTTAATTTCCTTCATCCAATTTTATGGGCATTTGACATTCTGCTCATGTAGACATATAACACCAAACTGACAAGGAGGATGTAGTGTGATTTTGCATACATTTTAGGTTCTTGGGTAAATTACTTTAAAACTTTCTAAAAATCTTCTGTTTACAGTTTGCACTTACTTAGATAAATTACGTATTGTCAACTACTTCAGTTGTAGTTTCAATCGAGTAAAAGTTTCAGTTTCAAAAATGAGATGAATCCCATTGTCAGATTCAGAATCCATAAAGCATGATTAGCCTTAATCCCATTGATTGAGGCAGGCAACATGTGACATTCATGCTATCCATTCATTAGTATGATAATAGAATGCAGCCTAGTACAAAATGCATTGCAGCTTCACTGCATGCTCAGAACTAGACTCTGAGTCTACGTCACAAGAAGCTAGCCTGCATCCCTTGAAGAGCAGTTTCACCAAGACTAAACTAGTTTCTAGGACAATCACATGAACGCTTTGATTCAGTGGAAAAAAAAAAGCATTAGACCGTAGAGATCACTCTCAGGTTCTCTCATATAGAATTACAAGCCTTGTGCTACTGGTGGAAAAGAGAACAGAGGTCATGATTTTACAGGGGATTAGGAGTTGCTAAAGATGTACATACCAAAACTGGACCTCAAGGGGAAAGGTGAGAGTCACTTACTTTGACATCAAGGCAGTAATTGATCAAGTGTGGCAAAGCTGAAGTTCACGGGAGCCAGGGTGAAAATTTTCCACTGATTGCAGTCATACTTATTACAAAGGAAGATAGTGTGGTTGCTGGAAAAACAACCATCTCGGTCCCAGGACATCACTGTAGGGAGTTCCTCAGGGTAATGTCCTAACTCCAATTATCCTCAACTACATTATCAATGACTTTGTTTACTTTCCAACCAATCAGCACTCTCTTCTCATCAAGTATATGCTGTTCTCCCCCTTGAATTTGTATTCTTGTGAAATATCTTGAACAGTGAAAGATGAAAAGTTTCAACAAAATGTGTTTTCCAGCAATACTCAAGTTCCATAACACCAAATGAGTAAAGGATAGTTTCATTGGATCCATATTGAAAATTAAGGTAGCATTTAAATTTTTGTTTTTGAGTACTTTTTAAATTGTGAAACATTATTAGGAATAAAGTCAGGGAAGTGGAAATCCCCAATAATTATTGAAAGGATATTAAAAATTAGAATTAAAAGGTACTCAAATAACAATTGATAGTGACAAAATGAGCAACACAGCAGTGAAAACAGAACAGCTGGCACAGTAAAACAGATTTTAAGGAATTGTGGTACAGACTTGAGATTCCTGCTGTTTTCAATTCACAGGATGAACATTTTGGAATATTTGAAGCAGACAACAATGGCAAACCACTAATAGATTTAATGACTAGCCATTAATCACATCGAGAATAGATCTGTATTGCATGAATTATGATTCATATCAAGTTGATGCTACTGTACATTGCAATGTTGTAATAAAAAAACAAAAAAGTTCAAGTTGCTATTAAAAATTAAGGATTTATTTTAAGTCCTTTTAAAAATTGTCTGATCATATCATGGGTTGGTGTGTTCAAATTGTACAGTGCCCTTACCTGTTCATAGAATCATATAATGACTATAGTACAGAAAGCCATTTGGCGCATTATGTTCATGGCACCTCTCTGCAGGAGTTCCTCAGCTAGTCTCTATTTGCATCAGCCCCATCCCCGAACCTGCTGCCTTTTCCCTATCGCATTGAAAGTGTTTTTCTTTTCAGATAATTATGGCATAAAATTCCTTTAAAAGCCTTTATTGAACCTGTGGCCACCACAGTCACAAACTGTCAACTCCAGATCCTCAGCACATGTTTTCTTTATGTCACTTCTGTTATTTTTTTGCCAAGCAAGTGTAAGTTGATAACTTCAGGTCTTGACTACTGCCAAAGGGAAGCAGGCTTTCCTATCTACTCATGACCAGTTACGATGCTGAATATCTCTGTGAAATCTCCTCTAAGCAGGACAGGACGTGTTAAATTTTAAAGCATTCAGATTGACTCTGATTGATCAGGACATCATCACTTACTCGTCCTGAGGCTGAACAAGTTATTTCAATAGATCCACCACAGTCCCTTTGCTTTTGTACTCCATGGCCTGAATTGTCACCTTCATTGTGTGGTGTGGGCAATACAGTTGGGAAAATACAAGAATTTTTTTTAAAGGATCAGAATCTTCACATTGAGAAATGGTTTCACAATTTTCCCCTCAGATTTTTAATGTCAACTTCAGAATCTTGCTATTGAGTGCCATCGTATTTCCATACATTTGCCCAGTAGATCATTTCTATACATCATTCAATTTGCCCTCCTTCCCTGGGAAACTGGATAGCACAAAGTATCAACCTGCACAGTAGAGTGGGAGCCTGGTAGCTGCAACTCATCGCTTGCCTTTCCCGGCTATCACCCAACTCAGTATTCATCACAATGTCCCTGCAAGCACCATGGCCACGAGCCACGTCCACACTTCATCCACCAATTTGCCATCGACAACCACAAGCCTCACTACTTCAGCATGGCTGCTCCCGGACCAACTCTCACACCATTTCAGCTCGTCAACACTAGACTTTGAAGTTCAGTGGCCCTATAAGTTGCGTGCTAATACCAGATTATTGGTGAACAAGGACATATACACACCGCATGCATCTGTGTAGGATACTCTTTATGGCACATATCTCGCTTACTCAGTGGTCAATGATTTTATTGGAGACTGCCACCCTCTGTGGCATGAATTGCTTTTTAGAGGGAGCCTCATTCAGCTTGTCATGGTGTGTAATACTGAATAGTAAAAGGGGTGGATATGTTACTATATGATACCAGACTATGTCAACATCAGACTTGCAGAATGTGCTGGCAGCTTACGTGGCCCACACACACTGTATGCACCTCAACCAAACAGCCATGTCTAAAAATCAAAGTAGGCCAGTTTGTAATGGAGTCAAGATAGGAGCTTGTCCAATTCCAGTCCAAACAGTTGGCTGCAGTCGGTCAGGCATTTGGTACTGACAGTTTCCAGGCATCCATGTCCTGGGTACAGTCAGTCAGCAGGTCAAACACAAACAATCTGGGAATTACAGGGAGGCCAGTTGGGATGCTGTGGAAGGGGAGGTGATGCGGTGGTATTATTGCTGCACTGTTAATCCAAAGACCCAGAGAATGTTGTGGGGAGCCAGGTTCAAAACCTGCCATGGCAGATGGTGGAGTTTGAATTCAATAAATATCTGCAATTAAGAGTCTAATGATGACAGTGAATCCATTGTTGATTGTTGGGGAAAAACCCATCTGATTCACTAATGTCCTTTAGGAAAGGACACTGCCATCTTTGCCTGGTCTGGCCAACATGTGACTGCCCTCTGAGCAATTAGGGATGGGCAATAAGTGTTGCCTAACAAACAACGTCCACATCCTGTGAATACATTTAAAAAAACAAGTGTCTGGGGTAGGCTTTGGGGAGTGGGGTTGGATGGTTGTCCAGTTTATTCTACAACAAGACAAAAGGATGAATTGAGCATGTTGGAAGTGGATGGAGCCGCAGTTAGTTAGTGATGTAGAAGCAGGAAAGGTAGGGAGGTGACCTAGTAAGTAAGAAACACAGAAAATAGGAAGGTGGGAAGGATTAGTCATTTGAGAGGAAACAGTGAGTGAAACCTGTTGAGTGGGCAGGATGTATGTCATGCTGAGAATTGAACTCCATGAGCCTTGGTGAGATGTGTGTATAATGGCAGAGTAAATGAGTATGTCTTTCTTTCCCTTTATTTTACTTCCAGTTCATTGTTTTACAATATTTTAATTTATTGTTCCTGGTTTACTCTGTCTGGATCAGTAAACATTCTAAGTGCTGATTAACTGTCAAGAAAGCTAGCAGCTGCTTGCGCTAAGGAGGGCTACATGCTGGAAAAGATCTCTCACAGTCCAAAATTGCTGCTGAAAAGCTTGCTCAAAGTTTGTGGACAGCTGTAAGCATGATGAACAGTATGCAATGCTTTTTCATCATCCATGGTAAAATCCAGGTCTACATGTATTTCTGTTATTGATGCCATTTTGAATTCCAGACTACATTTGTAATAATATACTTCTAGCCATTAATTTTAACTATGTGTTGACTATTATGCACAATGTAATACCAATTTGACAGGAATATTCAAACAAATATTGCATTGTAGGCATTAACCAGCAACAATAAACCAAGGAACAATGAAAAGAAAACACTCTACCTGTTATGCACTTTAAATTTTTAGGTGCTTCATCTGAATAGTCAAGACAATCAAAGTCCCCATCACATTCCCAATCTACACTGATAAGGCATCTTCCATCGGCGCAACGGAATTCTTGGGGGCCACAGGATTTGTACACTGAAAATCCACAAAACCAGAAACTTCATCTTAGCGTGCAATAACATGGATAATTTCTGTTGGTCTTTAAATGTAAAATATGTAATTTCATAGTTATTTAAGGTTTAAATCTTCAATACAGAGGCATGATTGCTCACCTACTCTCTATCACTTGACTTGTCTCTCATGCAAGACATTGTCAAAGGCCTTATTGATGTCCATGTAGACTATACCAATCGAATTACCCTCAACTGCACACCTAGACATCTTCTTGAACAATTCAATTTTTTTTTTCCTTTTTTTTCCTAAATACAGCCCGAGGGTATAAATGATGAATGACATGTTCCTCAGTATTTAATGATTTATCAAGGTACAGCGAGCACACAGACGGAAATAGTTTGGCTCAGCAGTTTCCACAACATTCTCCTCCTGACCTTCGTTGTTCATCCCTATCAGCACATCAATGTGGATTTCACAAGTTTCAAAATCTCCCCTCCCCCTACCGCATCCCAAAACCAGTCCAGCTCATCCCTGCCTCCCTAACCTGTTCTTCCTCCCACCTATCCCCTCCTCCCACCTCAAGCTGCACCTCCATCTCCTACCGACCAACCTCATCCCGCCCCCTTGACCTGTCCGTCCTCCCTGGACTGACCTATCCCCTTCCTAACTCCCTACCTACACTCACCTTTACTGGCTCCATCCCCGCCTCCTCGACCTGTTTGTTTCCTCTCCACCTATCCTCTCCTCTATCCCTCTTCTATCCGCCTCCCACTCTCTCCCTATTTATTTCAGAACCCCCTTCCCCTCCCCCTTTTCTGATGAAGGGTCTAGGCCCGAAACGTCAGCCTCTCTGCTCCTATGATGCTGCTTGGCCTGCTGTGTTCATCCAGCCCTGCACCTTGTTGTCTCAGCACATTCTTATATTCCTTTCTCCCTCATGTTCTTATCAAGCCTCCCGTAAATGCATCTGTTCGATTTGCCTAAATTGCTTCTCGTAGTAGCCTTTTCCATAATCAACCCACTCTTGGGTAAATAAGTATCTCCTGATTTTCTTATTGAACTTATTAGTGTCTATTTTGTAGGCATTATTATAATTTTGGACGCATCCATAACTAAAAACATTTCCTCTAACTCCACCCGATCTAACTCTTTCATAATCTTCAAGGGCTCAATCAGCTTCCTCTTTTCTGGAATAACAGCTTTTGTCTCGGCCCGAAACGTCAGCCTTTCTGCTCCTATGATGCTGCTTGGCCTGCTGTGTTCATCCAGCCCTGCACTTTGTTGTCTTGCTTTTGAAGGATATTCTGGTTAGTACATCCTCGCCATGCTGGAATCATCCAGATGAACTTTTCTTTCACAGGTTCTCTGATGTTTTCATGTTATTTTTATAACACGGAGAGATAATTATGCAAAATAATACACGGGTAATCTAAGCAAAGTTCAATACAAATTTAACATAACTCTGTGCTAATTATTTATTGCATTTCTTTAAAGATGTTTTCGAATTTCAAATTCTTTCGATGTCAGAGAGAGGGATAGATTTTTCCATCAGGAATTATATAGCTTCCTTGAAATTAGGCATCCTCGAATCCTATCTGGGAAAATGTTTATCTCACCCATAATTGTTTGAGAAAAGTTATCTCATGAATGTAGAGTCATAGAGTCATAGAGATGTACAATATGGAAACAGACCCTTTGGTCCAACTTGTCCACGCTGACCAGATTAAATCCCAAATAAATCTAGTCCCATTTGCCAGCATTTGGCCTATATCCCTCTAAACCCTTCCTATTCATAATCCCATCCAGATGCTTTTTAAATGTTGTAATTGCACCAGCCTCCATCACTCCTTCTAGCAGCTCATTCAGAACACACACCACCCTCTGTGTGAAAAAGTTGCCCCTTAGGTCCCTTTTAAATCCTTCCACTCTTACCTTAAACCTATGCCCTCTAGATTTGGATTCCCTTTTCCCAGGGAAAAGACCTTGGCTATTCACCCTATCCATGTCCCTCATAATTTTATCAACATTTACAAGGTCAGCCCTCAGCACCCAACGCTCCAGGGAAAATAGCCCCAGCCTATTCAGCCTCTCCCTACAGCTCAAAACCTCCAACCCTGGCAACATCCTTGTAAATCTTTTCTGAACCCTTTCAAGTTTCACTACATTCTTCCTATAGCTGGGAGACCAGAATTGAGCACAGTATTCCAAAAGTGACCTCTCCAATGTCCTATACAGTCGCAACATGACCTCCCAACTCCTATACTCAATGTACTGACCAATAAAGGCAAGCATACCAAATACCTTCTTCTCTATCCTGTCAACCTGCAACTCCACTTGCATGGAATTATGAACATGCACTCCAAGTTCTTTTTGTTCAGCCACACTCCCCAGGACCTTACCATTAAATGTATAAGTTCTGCCCTGATTTGCCTTACCAAAAATGCAACACCTCACATTTATTTAAATTAAAATCCGTTTGTCAATCCTCAGCCCACTGGCCCATCTGATCAAGATCCCATTGTACTCTGAGGTAACCTTTTTCACTGTCCACTACACGTCCAAATTTGTTGTCATCTGCGAACTTATTAACCATACCTTTTATGTTCACATCCAAATCATTTATATAAAAATGACAAAAAGCAGTGGACCCAGAACTGATCCTTGTGGCACACCACTGGTCACAGGCCTCCATTCTGAAAAACGACCCTCCACCAGCACCATCTGCCTTTGAGCCAGTTCTGTATATAAATGGCTAGTTCTCCCTGTATTCCATGTGATCTAACCTTGTTAACCAGTCTATCATGAGGAACCCTATCAAATGACTTGCTGAAGTCCATATAGATCATGTCCCCGCTCTGCCTTCATCAATCCTCTTTGTTACTTCTTCACAAAAATAAATCAAGTTAGTGAAACATGATTTCCCACGCACAAAGCCATGTTGACTATCCCTACTCAGTCCCTGCTTTTCCAAATACATGTAAATCCTGCCCCTCAGGATTCCCTCTAAAAACTTTTCACCACTGATGTTAGGCTCACCGGTCTATAGTTCCCAATAAAAAAGGAGGCCTGCGCTCATATCACCTGTCCCAGAGGCATGTCAATAATATATCTGGACAGGTTGATTAAAAATATCTGCCCTGAACTCTAGGGCATACAACATACATGTGCCTAATGAGAAGGTATGAGGGTATGTGGTACTTCAAATTTCAATAAACTTACAGGTTTAGGTAATCTGAAAGGGGAAATCTTAATTTTGAATGAGCGCAAACTAATTAGTTAAGCAAAGTGATTTAGTTTTTATTCAAAGCATAATTATTAATCTTTAAAGTTCTTTTGAATTCAAACAATTTGATATTACTTGCGATTTCTGGATTTTTCAGTATGCAGTTGTAGCACATACTGTTATATTGCACATAACTGCCTGAAGTACGAGTTTTTTCTCTCAATGACATATCTACTCCACTGCCTTTCTGTCTAGCTCAGCCTGGAAGTTATTATTTACTGATCCAGCTTCTACTTCTCTTTCGGAGAGAAATCTCCAAAGGTTAGTGACCTTCTGAGAGGAGAATTTCATCTTCATCTCCATTTTAAATGGGAGGCCCCTTATTTTTAAATTTTGCTTTTGAGTTCAAGGATCTCCCATGAGGGACAACATCTTCTCAGCATCCAACCTATTGATATTGAAATGTAACAATGATTTCAAATTTCAGATTTTCAGCATTCACAGTACTCCTGTAGATAGTTACAACTCTTGATTACATTATTTCAAAGTAATATTAGCATCAGTAAAAATTAATCCATTTTCAAGTGCCACCAACACTTCGTTACGAAGAATATATATACCTACCGCATTCTGGTGGTTCATCAGATCCATCTCCACAATCATCATCATGGTCACAGACAAAATGTTGTGGAACACACAAGTTGTTCTGACACATGAAAGCTTTGTTATCACATGTGCTGTTGTGTGCTAGAATGGGAAGAAACAATATATGAAATTAAAGTACGTAGGTGTATTTAATGTGCATTACACAAGTTAATGTAATTGTAGTGGCATATGGCTGCAGTAATATCATTGGAATATTTCCTAACAATGTTCATGCAAACAGTTTCACTAAGTAAAAAAATACATGTTCACTAATGTTTTATTGAAATCTTGATTACAAATAATTTTATTACTCAATATTTTAATTTCTGTACACTAACACACAAAAATAGGAAAGCTATAAATGTTGCATGCAGTAAACATAGTTTAAAAAGCAGGTGTTGTATGTTTATTATTTGCTTTTATTCAGCTGTCTCAGAAACTCTGCCTCTAAGTCTGACAGTTGAACACTGAAGATTTTATATTGCTGATTATGTTTTTTCATCTTGCACTCATCAGAACAGAATTGCAAAAATACCAAATCATAAATGGGAACAACAATTGCCACAATGATGCAGAACACTGAATATTAATCTTTAAAATTTCACTGACTACCTTAAAAGGCTTGAATTTTGGAGTTGAGAGAAAAACAGTTTAAAAAATAACTTGGCTGGTTTAAAATGGCCAGCAAATTCACCTGATCTGAAAATAGCCAAACATACAGGGATATACAATGGAATGAATAATGCTGTCATCCAGAAAAGCCTATTCAAGGGGTAATTGCTCGACCATTATGATTCATCATTTGCAACGTATAGCACACAATGAGACGTTTGAATTCCTGTGAGGTTAAGACACCTCGACTACAGATATTACTGGAACAACAGTGTAAATCCAAAAATTATTATGCATTGTGAAGGATCAATACTCCTATGTCTCTAACAAAAGATAGTAGGTGTCCTCTGGCAATGGACCATCACATCTATAGAAAGGATTATCCCCATTGTGGACCAATGGTCACGTACTTCACATGTCAAAATCACCTCCTGGGAGCAGGCACGACATAAGCTGTGACTTTTTTCTACAGAATAGAAAGACATCCAGGAACAGTCAGCAGCATCAAAGAACATACACTAACAACAAAAATAACTTTTCTTTAAAATAGCAAAGTGTTTTGGAGAAACTTAGCAGGCCTAATGGCATCCATGGAGAAAGAAACATAGTTGATTTTTGAATCCAATATGACTTTTCTTCTATTTACTCAGATGCTGCTAGATCTGCTGAGTTTTCTTGCACTGTCTGTTGTTCTTTCAAATCTCCAGCATCTGTAGTACTTTGCTTTTATCAAGAATAAGGACTCTGTCTCTTTCTCTACTAATGGTGTCCAATTCTGCAAGAAGTGATCAGGTAGAGGAAAACCAATGACAGAACATGGAAACATGCCGTACGACTGTCTCCAGAGGAACTACAGTTCAACATATAAATCTTTCATTGAAATGTTTTTCCAATCTAGTCCACTCACCCTGCACATCATTCTGCCTGTTTCCATGCTAGTGTTTATGTATGACAGAAATCAAGATGGATTTTTACCTCTCAATAACTTTTATGCCTCGTTTGTGTGAGTTTCATTAAACTAACTCCTTTAATTCCAAACAATGTAAGCAAATCTGATGTGCTCTTCATGGCTCGAATAAACTTGAAAAAAAAAGTACTCTGTTACATCCATCTCTGGAATGACAAGAGGAATTTATTCATTTTTCTAGTCTTGACCATAACACACTTTATGAGTAGTGAGCACTGACTGGCAAATGGACTCTGAATTACACTGACAGCTACTTTAAGATTGTCAGTCAGGATCTCAGTATGACCCACTGATGCATGCTGGAAAATACATGTATTCATATGTAGTGCATTGTCGTTTGTAAACAGAAATACCTTGTCCACACGTTTCACTTTTACAGCTTGGGGACATGAATTCCCTTATGCATTCCTTATAACGATATCGTGACAAATTACAATCTATCTGGTTTAAGTTAAAGCAAATGCTTGGGAGTTAACTGTTCTCTCATGCATTCTTCATATTGATGCCTCAACTAATCTGAATTCACTTGCCAACTAATGGGCACCATCTTCTCATGTGGTATAAATCACTGTTCTCTTTGAGATTTGGAATTCTGATGAGGGCAAGATGAAAACTTTCAACAGCATGTCTACGTCTTCAGCCATGTTCAAGCTCTGTACAACAGCAATATTGAAGTTTCAGTCAGGAATTTAATCCATTTCTAGGCTCTCAGTTGTGTTTTGCAGTTCAAGAAGCAGCTGACGATGACCTCCTTGCAGTCAAGTGGGAATGGGCAACAATGGCACATCTCTTGAGAAAAGAATGAGTTTGAGGAAAAATCAGCATTGTTGGAAGAGTTATCTTATAGTTGAGACATTAAATTAATGTCCTGACTTTTTCATGTAGTTTTGCTTTAACTTAGCCAACATTTTGGCCCTTGAACTGTTGAATATTGTAATGTACTTCTGTTTGTGTGTGTCTTTGTTACTTTGATAATTCCATAATTTTCACCCAAGTATTAAGTGGTAACTCAGGGCTTAAAAACAAGCTATTATGGATATCTTAGTGTCATAATGTCAGCTAAAAGATTTCTGTAATAGATTCAATTGGGAAGGCAAATTAATTGATATGTTGAGTAGTCAACAGCTTCTCCACTGTGTTTGGTTCTTGGTTTGTACAACATTAAAAATGCTTTGGCCCAGGCAATATAAGATGGTTTGAAAGCAACTTAGCCTAAAAGGATGGAGTAAATCTTAGATGACGGACATTTACAATTTTCAGTTAGACTGTAAAACTGATATGCAGAACAACCGCTCCAGTTATAAGCCAGTTGATTTTAATTCCGTCAATTCTTCATCATTTTTTTTAAGACACAATCTATCCATAATTTCAGTTTTATGCCTATTCTGCAAGTTGAAAATTTACCCCATGGATTGTAAATTTCCAAAGCAAAAGCAGTGAATTAAAGGGCGTTACATTTGACTGATACCTTCAGTTAGCATTTTTTGCATGGTTTACTGATATATCATTATTATTATCGAACTGGAAATTTGCTGGACAACAACAGAAGATGTTTTGCTGTCTGCTACACTGTTGCCTCCAACTACATATAAACTAATTGCAATTTGCATCATGCCTGTCATAACTCACCCACTCTGTCTATCTGAAAGAGGTAGTTAATGCAAATTTATTGCTTCATTTTACAAAATCTATTGTTCCTGTTGTATAGCCACTGTGAATTCTTGCCTTAATAAACAAAGACAATTGTTTTCAGCATTACTTACTGCAACCAGCTGTGGAGAGCTCATCACTTCCATCTGGACAGTCTTTATCACCATCACACAGCCAATGTTTTGGGAGACAAACATAAGAGTTGGGACATGGGAACAAATCAGGAGCACAGGTGACTGAACCTGTCGTAGTGAAATAAGCTATAAATAATACATTCATGAAGTAATGCTCAAGATGTATGGGAGACTTGCCTTTGTCAAGTCTTTTTAGAAATACAAATCATTTTGAAGTATTGTTTTCAATTTAAATTAATAAGCAGTAGCAAGCATTTAGTATAATATAAAGCTTTCATATTCTTGATGCCTATTATTGTTGTTACTCAACATCATCTTCTAATAATTGTATTGAAATTTGGAAATGAAAAGAAAACTGTGCTAAAGATTACTAAAATGTTATTGATCCCAGTTGAAGAAATTCATACAGCATTATGTTGAATTCTGGATAGTATGGGGAAGGTATAAAGGAAATATATTCAGAACATGAATAAGTCAAATTCTAGCTAAAGGATATAGCAGCATGACATAGAAACATCTTCTACACATTCCAAAGCAAATACATCTCATTAAAGTTGGAATTCAGTAAAGTCATACTTTACCAAAGTCAAAATTACTGAAAGCAAATATACTTGATACACATATTAACTTAGCACAGTATAAAATAGTTGGTCTCAGGTTTTGAAAGCAAGGTTGCAAGTCAGTCTTAATGCATTCTGAAACAGGAAGCCTAGAGTCAGGTTGAATTTGATCTATTAATACTAAATGTCAACAAGACAAGCAGTCTGATAATTTTTTAGATCAGTGAGCTGCTGCCAATTATCAGAGAGCTCACCCATTTGAAGATCTTGCAGGCTGCTTGTCTTGTTGACAATTGCCCAAGGATTGGTCCTGTGGGGTGGAAAGGAAGGGAGACAGGCATCCCAAATGATTGGGATTCTATAGGTTTGAGGTGGGCTACAATTTTGAGTAGGTGGCTGAAAGAACTGCACAGAGGTCAGTATCCCATCACCAAGTCACTCTTTATTCACATGTGGACAGTCCTTGACACTTATCCAACTCTCAGAGTGAATAGGATGTTTGACACTCCTGTTTATATCTGTCAGCCAGGGGTTCCTAATTGGACCAGATTAACAGCCCCAGTCAGGGAACTCATATTCTATGAAGTTCACCTGGCTGATCTCATTAAAATCACTACAGTGACCCAACAAATATCAAAGTGCTGAGAGGTATCATATTTGCTCGATAGTACCTAAAATAACTCTGAGGATTCTATTGCACATATGTAAGATACAAGAGGCCTAATGTTAGCCTTAGTCAGTCCCCATAGCATCTGCAAAATTATGCAGTCCATTCTGAGGTCAGAATCCTTTCTGGCTTCCTTTGGGCGCAAGATATTAATCTCCAAAATGAGTCCTCATTTGTTTATTTTACACCTGTAAAATGGGTGGAAATATGTCCGATTTCTACACTGGAATATTTTCATTTACAAGATTGGGACTACAGTATTCCAACTCAGAGAGGTTGTAATGCTTTGTGTATCAAGTATTGAAATGAAATAATGAACATAGTTATTTTAGGCTATTTTAGAAGAGGCAATGACATTGTGGTAATCTCACTGAACCAGTAATCCAGAGACTCAGGCTAATTGTGGATTCAAATCCCACCACAACATCTTCTGGAATTTAAATTCAATTAATAAATCTGGAATTGAAAGCTAGTCTAGTGATGGTGGCCATGATAACCATCACAGATAGTCGTGAAAATCCATCTCATTCACTAACATTCTTAAAAAATGAAAATTTGCCATCTTTACCTCACTTAGATTACATGTTACTCTTAACTACCCTTTGCAATGACTGAGCAAATGATGCTCACTTCCCTCCACAAGAAAAAGAAAGGACATTTAAACAAATTCTCTTTCCAGTAACTATCGCAATTAATGTTGGTGGAGAGGAATTCCTTCTTGTCAAACAAAGTAGCTAATTTTCTCATCCAAAATCAGGTGACAAACAATTGCCCATTTTGTAGCCCAGCCAAAGTTTCATGTTTTTGTTTACTGTAGGATTGTACAAACTAGCAAAGTAGACAATTGAACATCAAAGTTTTTGTTGAATATTTCTGGACTCAGTTTTTTTCAGCTTAAGAGAAACATTCATAGTAGAGCCAGAGATTTTCTTTCTGCTTTACTTTATTTTGGGCAGTTCTGTGAAGTCCTTGCACAGAGATGTATGCCTAGAGCTGTATTCCTGTGAATATAGTAAACTAGATTACATTAGAGTAAGGAGTTTGTGGTCGTCTCAAGCCAGAAGTGTTGAGATAAAATCCTGAAGAGGTCTTGAAGCTATGTTTGTATAAAGCCTGATGTATTTAGCTCGAAGAATAAGCTATATGTGTTTCTCGTCTGGGAGTTAAAGTCACAGTTACCTAAAACCTACTATGGTATTAGAGAAAGGATTCTGGTATGAGTACTCTACAAAGATTGTTGTTGGGTTCTGTACAAGGGACTTTTGCAAAAACTTGTAAAAGAATATCTTGAGAGTAATGGAATTTTACATTTATTGTGTGGTTATAACTTTTTGAACTTGTGCTTTAATTAAATAGATTTGTGTATTCAATTTTATCTTTGTTTTTTGTAAATAAACTTTTGTGTTTTTTTGTTAACATCAAATCTACAATATTGAGTATTTCTGTCTCAGTCATAGAAAATGAATACTTTTAAAACCAGAACAAACCAAGCTATGATCTATCAAATCAGATTTCAGTCTAAGGTCAAACTTGTCCAGTAAAACACAGCTGGTATCATAACGCTCTCTTCTTAACACTATGTGAATAGGCAATCATCCTTGATGGGCATTGTTTTGTTTTTGCAAGCATAAGTGAAAGTAGAGCTGGATGAAACAGTGTGATTCTGGCCAACATTCAGATCGATGACCTTACACCAATGGTGCCTAAAGAAGCAAAATGAACTTTAACAGAGCACATCAGAATTTTAGATAACAAGGTGTAGAGCTGGATGAACACAGCAGGCCAAGCAGCATCAGCTGTGTTCATCCAGCTCTACACCTTGTTATCTCAGATTCTCCAGCATCTGCAGTTCCTGCTACATCAGAATTTTAGCACTTTGCCAGATTTTCTCCTTTCTTTTTCCTCTTTTCTCTTTCAAAAAGAACATTAAACTTACTAATCACCTGATAGCAAAAATCACATTTTTGCTTTCATCTTGACTTATCAGTTCTGCATCCTCTCTGTGGCACTGGACCCCTGCTCTTTATATACTGGTGCATTTACTTGCACTGATTTTACAAATTCTGAAAGAACTTTTCTTTAGTAAGTGGATACTTCAGTACATTCTCAACTTAGAAAGCAGCAGTCATGGCATGGAATGCTTCCTCCATGGAACTTTTAAAGTTTGAAACTAATGCCAGTGACTTAGTCATCAAGTCATACATCACAAAAGAGGTCCTTCATCCATCAAGTCTGTGCCTACACTAATTTCATGTTCCAGCAGTCAGTCCATAATATAAAATTTTTCCAGGGCTCATTTTGAAAGTTGTGAGGTTTCCCACTTCTACTACCCTCACTCGAAATGCATTCAGACTCGCACCACCCTCTCTGTCAAACATTCTTTCTTCAAATCTTTCCAAACATCCTGCCTTGCACCTTAAAATTCAGTCTCCTCATTATGGACCCTTCAACTAAGCTGTTTCCTATCTGTATTGTGCATGCCCTTCATATTCTTAGATACCTCAATTAGGTCTCCCTCAGACTCAGATATATTCGGTATACTTTTGTAATCGTATACCCTAATTACTGGTATTTGATGTGGTACCTACACAGCTAAAAGCATAACTGAATTAAGCATCATATAACACAAAACTGTCTTCCCAGCACCTGGTCACTGGTTCAATGATTTTCCTCCTGTCTCCACTTTGCCACAGTGTTTCCTTATCCAGGTCAGCAAATGATTGTGATCTTTCTGTGTGAGACCTTAATTGGTGTATATGTGGCGTCAGTTGGTAGTCTGTTTACTGCATCTAAGTTGCTGGGTATAGCAGACCATGCGATCAATCTTGATTGGTGAAGGGAAAAGAGAGAATGTCAGGAATACGTAACTATTACCATTCATTTAGACTTGGTATAGAAGATTTGCTGTAAATTCCAGAATTAAGATATGATTATGCACATATTTGCCAACACAGATGGCAAGCTTTGATGCTATTGCTAGTACTTAATTTGAGGCTGATATTATCGTATGTAATACTGTTGCAACACATGACAATAATATCGGCCTCCAAATTAATAACTAGCAATAGCATCAAATATTGGGTGGCACAGTAGTCAGCACTGCTGCCTCACGGTGCCAGGGGCTCGGGTTCAATTTCAGCCTTCGGTCACTGTTTATACGGAGTTTGCATGTTCTCGTCAAGTCTGCATGAGTTTCCTTCGGGTGCCCTGGTTTCCTCCCACTGTCCAAAGATGTGCAGGTTAAGTGGATTGGCCATGCTAAATTGCCCGTAGTGTTCAGGGATTTGTCGATTAATGTGGGATAATCTTTGGAGGTTTGGTGCAGATTCAATGGGCTGAATAGCCTCTATCAGTACTGTAGAGATTCTATAATTCTATAACATTTCTCTCTTAAGTAGCTAAACTGTCTGGATAATTGATGTCCTTCATAGATTAAATGCACATCTGAAGTAAGAAGTCTACTTAGTTAGGCGAGCAACGTCAATTGTCTATCTGGCTACTATCATACATTTGACACTATTGCCAAGCATTGCATGATCTTTGCTCAGAAGTATGTGGTGAGTCAGTAAGTTCATTGATTTTTATTGAAATAAGAAGTGCCATTTTCAACTTCTGATCAATATATGCTCTTCGTGCCTACATCCGTCCTTTGTAGCTAATTGTCAATAGGATCAAAGCCTTATAATGATGCTCTTTATTATTTGTAAGGCTTGTTCAGGACCTCCATTGTGATCTTTGTAGTGAGCTTAGCTGGGCTGCTATTTATTATCAACTTGTATGGCTCCATTCTGTCAGACTTTACTTCCCTGAAACTTCTATCTTTCTCTCATCATAATGTTGTAGTCAATAAATTGGCCAGTCTGAATCGAAATTTTCACAAT